GTCCTGATCTCATTTGTGGATGTGATTCTTTCTGAGAGAAAGCAAATAAGTCAAGGGCCCGTGAAACCCACACTCTGTGGCTGGTTGCCCATCCAAACCCACATTCTACGGCTAGCTCCATTTTACTCATCTCCCCGACTGGGCATGAGAGTAAACTGAAACTGGAGAATCCTAGTTCCAGTAGCAGGTGATCTTGTCATGGGCAATTCAGGGAAGCACAGGTGCCAAAAATAACAAAAATAATGAGAAGGAAAGGAGTTGTTGAAAGATGTGAGGTGCCTATGGGTGATGATTGCCTAGAACTTTGATAGAAAGCTGTGGGGGTGGGCGGACTCACAGAGGGTGGAGGGACTTGAGGGTAGCTGCTGTTTGTCTATCAGATGTCTTGTGGAGCCCCAGGGCTAGAAAATGGGGTGCTAGAGTTGGGGAATGAGCCAAGAAGGTCCTTGTTTTCTCCAAAACCTCTACCCTCCTTGACACACCGACCCCAACATGGGTGATATCACGGGGTGCTTCACCTCCTCATGTCTTCTTTCCCCACCTCCACTTCTGCTCATGTCTTTTCCTGCCCCAAACTCCTGCCAGGCCATGTGTCCCCCACGCATGCTCCTAATCCAGGAGGTGAGAGATGGGACCATTTCAGAACGGTCTTTACCTGAATCTCCCAGGACGTAGATGGGTGACTGCTGGCTTTAGGTGAGTCAGAGGTAGGCAGCAAACCACTGATTTCATCGAAATCTTAATCCTCTGAGAAGCTGCCCTCCCAGGGGGGTTGGTAATTAGTTGTTTGGATATTTGTCTCCTGTTGCTTTGGCGCCCACAGACAGGGATGGGGGCAAAGTTCTGTCTCCAGTCCCTGAGCCCTCTCCCCTCCAGTAAATAAGTTATAAGTAAATAAGAGCAAGTGAAGGAGGCTGCCAGGGGAATGGTGCAGAAAGTCAGGAAGAGTCGGTGCTAAGACAATCGGTGGTGGAGGAACGAGGAAGGACTGAGAATCAAGCAAGGGGACGTGTGGGAGAGCCGACCCCCAGGTACAGGCTCTCACAGATTAATGTGAATGACTGAAACTCGAGTTCTGAAGTTCCAATACCAGGCAGGAGGAAGACAGAAGCCTGGCTGGGGTGAGGAGGGCCTTGGCTGCAGAGGCTGTGAATGTAATTAGGAAGATGGACTTTGCCTAGGTGGGAATCACTAGGATATCCACACCAGGGAGAGTCCCCGAACTCAAATGCATCTGTGTGGTCAAATATCCCCCACCCAGGTCCCTGCCCCAGTCTAGGGGAATGGATCTGAACATGCAGGTCTCACCCCGCATCCCTCCCTAGAAGCACTAGAGGTTGGGGCTGGCTGGAAAGAGAAGAGTTTGGACTAGGGGAGACCCTGGAGGTGAAGGATGTTCTCTGCTTCAGCTTCAGCTGCAGAGTAGGTACTGGGGAAATCTGTTCCCTGCTCTCAGTGCTTAGGGAAGGGGATCCCCAGTGGAATAGCTCACACAGATGGAATTCCCCACTCCCCATTTGTGAACAGTGTAGCAGTGAAGAGGCATCAGGGGCACTGGGGTAATGGGCTTTGTTATGGCACCAGAGAGATTGGCCTTCCTTGGTAGGTTCCAGACATGCAAATTGCTGAAGTCCTCAGGCTAGTTGTTGATGCTGAGAACTTTCACTCCTTCCAATGGCCTTCCAGGCCTGGATTCTCTAACCATCACATAAACACACTCTCCAGTGGAAATGGTGGGTAATTAGGATTCTGTCCCATTGCAGGCACAATCTGAGGCCTGACCTAAGTGGTCATGAATGAGCAGGATTCCCAGAGACAGGCTGCCTGAATCTGCAGCCAAGCTTCACCTCGAGCTGTGTGATGCAGGGCAAGTCGCTTAACCCCTCTGAGACTTGGTTCCTCATCTGCGGTAACACTGGCCTATTTAGACATAGTTTGCCTGGTGGAGAACTTAGTTCAGTGCCTGACTCAGAGTCAAAGCTCCACGACACAAGCTTTAATGACAGCAATGTCTGTGACGAGGATGAGGCTGGCTTAATGGTGGTGATCGTCATAGGGAGATTTCTGTTTCCAGGGGATCCCCAAACCTCTCCCAAGCATAATGACCCAGTCTACCCAGCACCTGTTTCCCAGGAGCCCAAACCACTTCACACATGCATAAACAGATGCGCACACACATGTGCGCGCACGCGCACACACACGCACACACACACACACACAAATATCGTCTCATCAAAGCTAATCTTTTTAATTATAAACGACAGCCAGGGCTTTGGATGTGAACTCCAGAAACACAGGTCAGTCACCCTGGGGGCCCCACTGACTCACTCCGTGTCACCCACAGAATCCTCAACCACTGACTGACTCACCCCTTTGCCTACCCTTGAAAGGGAAGAGCGGCGTTGCCTACTCTGACGTGGCGCAAGAAGAAATGGGTTAATTTGGTTAGACAACTTTGAACTTGTTGGATAAAAGAAGTTATTTAAGTACAAAGGAGGAGGCAAAGGTGTTTGGGTCAGGTGATCTAGACTGTGCTTTTCTACTGGAGTCACTCTGTCACTTGGGGAAGAGCAGAGGAGCCACGAAGGGGAATGGATGGGGGTCAGTCTTGATCCTTCCATAAGGTTCTATGATTAGTCTCCTGATGTCTCCCAGGTCTATCAATCCTATCTGTATCGAGAGGGGTCAGCAGGTGGGAGACTGATGTGATGGTGATTAGTAGCACAGCCTCCAGGTATGGGGACAAAGTTCTCTCCACTGGGGGGTGGTCAGAGATGTAGTCACTCCAGCCAAGGAGGAATTGGACTCAGCCTCCCTCAGCTGAACTGTGTAAACTTGCCAGCAAGTGACTAATTCAGAGGGAATACCAGAACCCTCTCAGAGAGTGGATGTGTTGGCTTTCCTTGAACACCTGTGGCTTCACAAGGAGTCATAGAATTGAGGGGCTAGAAAGCCCTCTATCGCCATTGCATCCAACACCAGGTACACCAGGTACCTGGAGTAGCCCCTCAACATCCTCACTAAGAGGTTGTAAAAGTCCTGCTTGAATGTTCATAGAGATGGCAAGCTCACTACCTGTCATGAAAGCTCTGACATGGCTTACTGCTGATGTGCATTCCCTGCCGTGGCTAATCTGAACACTCAAGAGTCCAGGCTGGGCAGTAATTAGAGGACGTGCCACGGAGGCTGGAATGGGATGGGGCAGGTGGTGGTGGTTGTACAGAGTCTCATGGGTGACTTTGACTTTTCTATACTGATTATTCTGAAGGATGACTTTTAGACTTGAAGACAGTACAGGGGGTTAAGGCATGTGACTTATATGCAGCTTCCAGGGTGACCCCAATAATTCCAGAACCACAAGCCCTGAGCAACATCATGTGGTCTGTCCCCTGCATGAACCACTGACCTAACTGGCCAAGAATCACCTCGAGTGGCCCTTGGATCCCCTAAGCACCTCTTGGGAAACCCAAAACAAGAATGACTTATTGACCATATTTAGAGTTTCAAAAAAATGGAAGGAGAAGGAATCCTCACCCTGAGAGGGTAAGGCCAACCCCTTCTGCCAAGTTTCCAACCAATCAGGAGCTCACTCTCCAAATAAACCCCCAACCCAGTGGTTCTTGAAGGTGTGTGTGCAGGACTGGAACTATAGTACAGTGGGTAGGGCGTTTGTCTTCTGTGCAGCTGGCCAACCTGGGTTCAATTTCTGGCATCTCATTTGGTCCCCCAAGCACCAACAGAAGTAATCCCTGTGTGCAGAGCCAGGAGTAACCCCCGAGTATCTCTGGATATAATACCCCACCACCACCACCACCACCAAATAAAACCCAAGAAAAAGGTATGTGTGCATAAAATCTACTGGAAGTCTCCATAAACCTGATTGCTTGGGATTAGAAAAATAGTATAGGAGATAGGCATTTGCCACCAAGCCTCCCATCTGGCCTATCCCCAGCACTGCATAGGGTCCCCCAGCACCACCAGGGGTCACTCCTAAGCACTGCAGAGTGTAGCCCATAAACCAACCCAAAACAAACCAAAAAAATGGCTGCCTCTGCAGAACTCTCTGGGGTGGGGCTTGAAAATTTGCGTTTCCCACGAGTCCCCGTGATTCCCCAGGTCTGACAGAAGCCCACACTCTGCCCTGCACAGCTGCCCTCCACCTCCGCACATGCCCTTGGTTTCACCTCCCAAGCTCCCCAAGTCTGGGTCTTGGATCTAGTTCAAAGATACCAGAGTTTAAGTCTGAGAATAACAGCCACTCCCTCTTTGCAGGGTTTTTATGGGGTGCTGGGTCATGAAGCCCTGTTTGTGGGCATCTGATGAGTCTCTCAGGGCATGTCTTGTGACCTGAACTCTTCCTTGCACCAAGATCTGATGGATCCTTCCAGATAAAGGGGTGAGACTGCCTCATGTCTGTCCTTTAAAATTTCTATAAATGTGGCCTGCGCTCCCTGGCTTGCATTGAGAGTAGTGTCACTCAGGTGCATTGTTTTGCGGACATTCGTGGAAACCGTGGTCCTCTTTGGCTTTGCCATCTTCCAAAACTAATTCAAGTGAAAGAGCCCCAGCCCCTGCATCTAGGGGCATGGTTGGCTCAATAAGCCCCCCCCCAACTGCGCTCACTTGCACTCTTTGGAGTCCCCCAAACAGCAGGCTGGAGGAACTGAGTCCAGCCATCTCAAAGACCCTAATGCTGCTGACGTGAAATTTATTAACAAAAATAAAAACAAGGTCACCTGCCACATCTCCGAGCGGCCAGGAAGCCAAAGGAAGGACACTCTGAGGAGAGCAAGCACAAATCTGAGGCACAACCCACTGACAAAGAAGGGCTCCTGGATTTCCTGTCCATCAGGTTGGCCAAGGAAGAACAGCCAGGGTGGCAGCCCTGGAAAGGGGTGCCCAGGAGACTAGAGATACTTCCCCCTCAGCACTGAGATGATGGTTTGGCCCACAGGAAGCCCAGGGAGGCCCAGAGAGCCAGGGAGAGCAGGAGGTACAAGTTACAGGGGCTGCCTGGACGTGCTGGAGGATGAGGTGGCACATGGGTTGCAGGGCAACCTGTAGAGAGAAGTATGAGACACTGGGTGAGAATGAATGGCACCAAACAGCTGGAGGCACCAAGGGTGTTTTCAACCTTAATGCCCCACTTCCCCCAGGCCTAAAAGGAGGCTGTGACATACGTGAGTCCACAGCAGAGCTGAGGCAGAGCTCTGGGCGCCCTGTGCAAAGCCCATGTTGCCCCCTACCCACCCATATGCAGAAAGAACTGGGTGGTGTGGAAGGTTGGAAGAGCCACACTCCATGGTGAGACAGCACTTGGCTTCCATCCCTATTGCTTGAAAGATCGGGTCATCCAGTGAGCCCTTTTCACAGTGCTACCAAGAGCCAGGCATCAGTGCAGCAAATCCTATGGCAACATTTGTACACACCGTGTGTGTAGAATCTCACGCTCAGGTAGACAATGGAGCCAATCCTAATGGAAGTGATTTGCAACCTGGCACCTAGCATGTATCTCTAAAAGGTCTCCTACTCACTCTCCTCTAAGTCCAGGTGGCTCATCAGCCGAGACAGTGCACTTGTTCCCAAAGATGTTTTCTTCGAGGCTGGTCCCTTCTAGGGCATTTCTACAGATGCCTGCTTTGCACTTGACGTTGACACAAAAATCAGGGCACCTACTTGCAGTCCTCACTCTCCAGGAGGTTCCGGTATGTCTCGATCTCTGACTCCAGCCGTGCCTTGACATCCAGCAGCACCTGGTACTCCTGGTTCTGCCGCTCCAGGTCACTGCGGATCTCAGCCAGCTGCTCCTCCACGGTGCTAATCAGACACTGTATCTGGGCCAGCTCCATGCCAAAGCGGGCCTCAGCCTCGCACAGGTTGTTCTGCAGACAGTCTTTCTGGGAGAGCAGAGAGAGGAAAAGGCAGGTTTAAAGCAGGGATCTCTGCCCTCCATCTATTCACCAGACCTTGACAGCCCCAAGACCCTGCCAGTCCCAAAGAACAATGCAGCTCCTGCAAGCTGCCTCCAGCTGGACGAACTATCTCTGAACTATTGATATTCATCAGAGACCTTAGTACAAGATTCAAGTCTCTCCTCTGGCCAATGTCTTTTTATAGGGCCTCTACTGCTATAAGTTCGATTCCTCCGCCCCTCTTGGAGAGCCTGGCAAGCTACCGAGAGTATCTCGCCCGCACGGCAGAGCCTGGCAAGCTCCGCGTGATGTATTCGATATGCCAGACACAGTAACAACAAAGTCTCCAATGGAGATGTTACTGGGCCCGCTCGAGCAAATCGATGATCAACGGGAGGGCCTTTACTTTACTTTACTTTACTGCTATAAGAAAGTTCTTGAAAAGGCAAGGACATCAAGGTGTGAGCTGGTTCCTGGTCAGCTGAGGCTAGGCATGGTTGAGCCCATGGGCTGCTCAGGGAAGTGGGTACAGCACTGCAAACCCCCAGACTTATTACATGCACCAGCCTTACCAGGTGATGCTGGGCTTGAAGCTCCACCTCCAGGGCGTTCACTGTGCAGCGCAGCTCCAGGATCTCTGACTGGCAACACTGCAGCTCCTCAGAGCATGACGTGGCCTGCAGGCTGATGCCCTCTGACTGAAGCACAATGACAAAGGAACACCATCAACCCCTGCCCACAGGAAGTGGTGGGGATCACCTGCAGCACCTGCCTCACCTGAGCCTGGAACCACTGCTCCACATCCTGGCGGTTGGTCTCCACCATGGTCTCGTACTGGCACCGCATCTGTGCCAACACCCTGGCCAAGTCCACAGCAGGTTCCGTGTCCACCTCAATGTGTAGCCTGTCCCCTAGCTGGCACCTCAGAGTGTGGACTTCCTGTGGGCATAGGAAGAGGACACCTGATTCCTGGGGAATTCTGCTGCCCACCACCCAAAAGCCTTATCTCTTCCTGCCCTTCTGCCCCCAGCAACTTCTCAGTGCTCTCCCCAAGGAGGTTGCACTGCCTAAAGCCTCTCAGAAGCTTTCAGAGATGGTGGGTGGGGTGCAGGTGCCCCCAGAAGATCAAACTCGCCCTTGTGACTTGTGAGATTTCTCCCAAGACCAATCCTGCAGAGTTTTGAGCTAGAAAAAGGGGCCCCACCCCAAGGACCCTGGGTTCACCTCTAGACATGTCTACCCCCTATCACCCAAAGGGCCACACACCTGCTCGTGGTTCTTCTTGAGGCAAAGCAGCTCCTCCTTCAGGGACTCTACTTGGGCCTCCAGGTCGCACTTGGCGAGTGTGAGGTCATCCAGTGCCCGGCGCAGCCCACACACATCAGCCTCCACCAGCTGGTGCAGTGAGTTCTCCGCCTGATACCTTCTCGAAACAGAACCAGCAAGGGTGTTAGAGCCAGGGGCCGGGGGTGGGGGGGGGGGGGGCAGAGCACTCCCGAGTAAGATTAGCGCTCTGGTCTTCCCTCTGCAAATGATTGTGAGCTCACAATTTCTGTGCACTAGGCTGAGCCCAGGAGGCTGCACGGTGGCACCAAAGTGGCTGCTGAGAATATCAGAGTGGACATGTGGCCAGCACATGCCCTGGTCGGCTGAGGGCAAAGGCAAGGCTAGAGTAGACCATCCTCCTCCTTGCCCCCAACTGTGATGGGTTCTTTGATTAGAACCAAGGGGCCAGCAGTGGGCGAAGAAGCCGGCTTTCTTTAGCTCTTGGCAAAAGCTTCAGCTGTGCCTGAGGGAGAATCAGGGAGGTACAACTCCCCTGTGTGCTCTAAGACAGACACTTTTTGCCCTGAGCCTTCTACCCTCCCCATGATGCCTCAGACTGTGCCCCTGATTTGGTGAATGAAGTGCGCACAACAGGTGGCGCTGCACAGTGGAAACAGCCTTGCTGAGGGAGCAGCTGAGTTTTATGGGAATCCTTCTGAAGTCATTATGCCAGTCACGTGACTTCTGGCAGGTCACATGACTTCTGACAGGGCATGTCCTGAGCTCCAGCACCCTCCAAAGACGCTGCTAACCCAGTTCCTAGGGTGGAATCAAGCATACGATATCGCCTGAATCGCACTGTAAATTATGACAGCTAAACAAATGTGAAGAATAAGAGCTTCTGTTTCAGACTGTCTTCTCCTCATGAAAACTGGTGGTTTGCAGTCTGAATCTGTTTCCCTTCTGGTGCCAACTACATCCCATAAGGGAAGTTCATGTTTGGCCTCTGGCTCATCCCCACACGATCCTTCCCCCAACTCACTTGGTCTGGAAGTCATCGGCAGCCAACTTGGCATTGTCTATTTGCACCACCAGCCTGTTGTTCTCAGATTTGATGCACAGGATCTGGGGGAAAAAAGGAGCCTTGGAGATTCCACTCCCAGAGCCCTCTGTGGCCTGGATTGGAGGAAGCTCCATGGTCTGGAACATTCCCTAGGATAAGACAAACCCCCAATCGCGTAAGAGATCCATGAGTATGGGGGTGCATGACATGGTTGATCGGGGGTGGAGGCACAGGCCTAAGGAAACAAGGAAGAAAGCAGCAAACTTGACACAGGATAGGTTTGATCATATTTTACCAGCTCTGAAGCTCAATCTAATATCAACAAGAGTAGGAATCTAGCCACAGCAGTAGTTGGCTATGAAAGTTCTAGGTGGGACCCACTTGTAAGAAGTCCCTCTCATTAGAGTCCAAGTACCACCCACCAAGTTCTTCTCTAAAAGCTAGTCAGGTTTCCATGGCCCCTATTCCAACATTCTGGATCATCTTGTCCCCAGAACGAAGATGTGGGCTCTGAAGAGGCATTGCACTGATGACCAAAAGGGATCTCAGATACTCCCTATAATAATAAATCCTGCCTCAAAAAGGAGCCCAGAACCTGTCTGCTGTATTCTGGCTTGCCTCCCAAAGTGGTAACTATTTCTGCAATGACAACATAAGGATTGGAGACTTGAAATGAAAGGAACACAAACTCAGAATCCTGGAGCATCAAATCCTACCTCTCAGTCTCTATACCTGCCCATTCACCTCCATGCTAGAGACTCTCTTTCATTAGTCAAAAGCACATTTCAGCTGTGGCTGCTTCTACCAACAATCCAGGTCCTATGCTTGCAAGCATCAGGGACATTTTTCAGTAAAAACTGGATGGCAAATATTTGGGGTTTTGCAAACCATGAGTCTCCATTCTAGCTCATCGATCCAGCCCTTACAGCACTAAAGCAGCTCAAACAACCCATGGTGACTGAGCGATGAGCATAGTCCATGCATCAATGTGATGTCTTGACAAAGACAAGCAGAAGGCCAGAGTCAGTTCAAGAGCCATAACTTTTCAGTCACAAGACCTCACCTTCTGCTGGAGCTCCTCCACGGTGCAGAAGTAGCTCTGGTAGTCGGGACACATCGTCGACTCGTGGCACTTGCTCCACTCCTGGATCTTGGTCTCCAGCTCCGCGTTCTCACGCTCCAGCTGCCGCACCTTCTCCAGGTAGTTGGCCAGGCGGTTATTCAGGAACTGCATAGTCACCTTCTCATGGCCATTCAGGGCACCTTCACCATAGGGCCCACAGCTTCCAATATTTCCAGGGATGTTGCAGGTCCCTGGCAGGGGGCAGGCCGTGTGGCAGCTGGCAGGCACACAGCAGCTGGGTCTTCCCAGGGATGTGGACCCCACACGCACCTTGTTGGCATGTGCCATCGTGGCTGACAGGCACAGGGGGGCTTCCTTGGGCTCTGAAACCTGCCCACTTAGGAGAGCATGGCAGCTATTAGCAGGCATGGTTCAGAAAGGCCAGGCCCCTTCTTTGTGCACAGTGGGGTCTGCTGAAGGTTGAAAGCATCCCTCTCTAGACCTTATATAGGCTTCTCATGGGTGTGGGTGCAAGGAAACTGGCATTTTACTCATTAATATTTATGTCAATTCTTATACAATCACTCTATTACTGGGTGATTTGTCTCCTATAAAGAGTTAACGAGCTTGTGAAAGAGGCCTTAACACCCCCAGAAGGCTTCCCACCACGCAGGGTCCGAGGAAACCGGAAGTGAGGTCTTGGAGCTCCCATGTTCTGTGGCTGAGAATGTCCCCCTCTGTAAATCCTGGCAGAGCCTGACAAGACCCAGATGCTCCTAACATGACCTCAGGGTGTTCGGTTTTTTTCCTGGGTTCTCCCTTGGAATGTTCCCTCCAAGGCCTGAGCCACACTCCTCCTCCCACTGGCCCACGGAGAAAAAGAAAAAATCACAACTGGTTTGTGGGACACTCCTTGTCTGGAGGGAAGGGCTGGGCTTTAATAAGAGGAGTAAAAAGTAAATGATCTTGATATGAGAAAGGCAGTAAAAGAGGGTATTAAACAAAAGAAAAGGAGCTTGGAGGTGACTCAAAATGGTAGCACAGATGCTCTGCATGTGTGAGGTCCTGGGTTCAGTTCCCCAGTGGTGCGTGGGTTCCAGCCCTGCTATTGTAGCCACCAAAAAGAACTCTGAACGTTTTAAGTAGAAAAGAGACATTATGTTCAGAGACCAGAAGAAGACTGCATGGAACAGGAAGTGGTTTTGAAAGGGGGGAGTGGGGATTGCTGGTTTGAGGTTTTCGTGTTAGATATACACCCAGCAGTGCTCAGGGCTTACTCCCAATTCTGTGCTCAGTATCACTGTTAGTGGTTCTCAGGGGACTATATGTGGTACCAGGGATTGAATTCTGGTTGATCATATGAAAGGCAAGTGCCCTACCCCTGTACTTTTTTCTGGCCCTGGAAAACATTTTATATATTTACCTTTTCATTGATTCATTCCGTTTTGGGGCCATACTGGCCATGCTCAAGGCTTACTCCTGGCTCTGACCTCAGGAATCACTTCTGACAGTGTTCAGGAAACCATATGGGATGATGGGGATCAAAACTGGGTTGGCCATAGGTAAGATAAGCACCCTACCCATTGTACTATCTTTCTAGCCCTTAGGAAACTTTTTTTTTTGTGAGACACCATGAGGTACAGTTGTAGACTTACAAATTTTGTGCTTGGGTTTCAATTAAACAATGATCAAATACCCATCCTTCCACCAGTGCCCATTTCCCACCACCACGGATCCCAGTATCCCTCCCTCCCACCCCCCATTCCCCCATCCCACCCTGCCTCTGTGGCAGGGCATCCTGGGAAACATTTTAAAGGTACTTTGAAAGATGGTTTCTGCAAGAGACGCCTCTGCCACAGACAGAAAAATAACTAATACCAATGTGTTCAGGAAATGGAAAATAGTCTCCTAGTGTTGGCACTGATCATAGGCAGTGTTTGCCAGCTCTGGAAAGTTGCCTTATGTGCCGCCTGTGAGAAGCCTGGGATATCAGGACCATCCCCTTTCTAGGCTCCAGGTAAAGATGAGTCCACCAAGTGTCATCTCTGGAATTGATTCCCCGACAAGACAAAACAAAAGGGTAGAAAAGAGACCAAAAGTTCTTGGATCCATGTCAGGGAGAACCATAAAGCCAAAGACCAGAATTCCAAAGGTATGGTGATATTTGAAAGGAAAATTCTACTTTTTAATAACCCATGAGCCAAAAAATAAATCAAATGAGAAAATACCTTGAACAGCTTTACACAGTGGCAAATACGTTTATTCGAGGCACGATTATTGCTGATTTAAAGCATCTTGAACTGAATGAAAATGAAAATACCATGTACCAAATTGATTTGGACCATCAACACTTTCCCTGTGTGTGTCAAACAGACAGCACCAGGGGAGCCTCAGAAGGAACAATGGGTAATTTGTAATTACCAGGCATAGGACTATGGGCCTGTGTCTTGGGGTGTACAGCTCATTAGGACTGGTGGTCATTAGAGCTTTATGGTTCCTGTTCTCAGGCTCCTCCCCGTCATACAGGGCACCTTCCCTCGGATCCCCTCCCTGTAAGAGTCCCTCCTCCACAAGAAGATACGCACACTCGAAACTTTGATCTTTCATCTTTTGAAAGTTCCTGAAGGTCTTTGAAATGAACTCCCTTGATTGTCCATTACTTAGGAGACTCTAGAATAAAATTTAAATTTCCTTAATCTTCAGACACACTCAGAGCTTCAGAAGCTTTTATGGCCTCCTCCATCCCCTAAAACAAACAATCCAGAAGCCAGTTGTTCAATAAGCCCTGAAGAAGGGCAGACGCCAGCTTCCCATCTATGCTAACGAAGACAGATGCTCCCTTGACACCATTCCTAAGATGAATGAATTTCTCAGGAGGCCCTAGAAGTCACACTCCTGGCTCCTATTGCCTCTCAAACATAGAACCTTGGACTCGCAAATTTATATCCGCTTAAACATTAGGTCTCTACTAATAACCTCCTTTTAACTAGTTGTCTGCTAGTCCACTATTTTCCAGAATAATCCATCTCCTCATTGTCCAATTTGGTACCAAAAGTTCAACATTTCCTTAGCTTTCCTTTTTTTTAAGTAACAACAGATTGTATTTGGAGTTTTTTTAGGAAGGGAAAGGGGGAAAGAAAATGAGAGAGAAAATAACACACTCAAGAGAGAAACACAGGCTTCTCCAAAGGCAAAGAGAACTCCTACACACACCCCAGCATTAGATATGGAAGCATGAAAGTACATATCTCAGAAGGAGAGATACAAGTGACACATATGCTCAGGTATCACATGGGCGCAAGCAGCACATGGGTTCAGGCAGTGTATGTGCCAATTTTTCCTTAGCTTTGTGCCAGGCAATGACATCTGGAAATAAAGAACAGCTCAGCCCTACCTTGAGAGTGATTGTTTAAATGCTCTTTATACAGGGAAAAACCTCCCTTCGTGTTTTATCTGCCATTGCTTCCATTTGATTTGTTGTTGTTGTTGTTGTTTTCATTTATGTGACAGATACTTATTGAGTACGTGGAGCCCAGCAAGCACTTATGACAACTTAGGAAGCAGATCAGAATTGGTCCTTTTGTTTCATTTCATTTCATTTTTATCTCTACCCATGAGGTTCCAGAGAAGAGGCACCCAACTGTTCTGCACTGGTACAAGCTCTGTGTGAGAGATATGCCACCTCTCTTCTTTGTATCTTCACTGAATGAAGTTCTTTAGCATTTTCTCTGAATATCCACCAGAGTCTTTACCACACCTAACCGGAAATCCACAAGGGAATTGCTGGTGAGCTTGGATTGAGAGGCTGCCAACAGATGGCCTTAGCAAACCTTGCCAGCAGCAAACCTTGAGAGGTCTCTGGTGGGAATAATGGCAGGGTCACCAGCTTTCCACCCCTAATCCCATTCTGGCTCCCATTCTGGCTCCCATTCTGACCCCAAAGTCAACAAGCAAGACACAGGGGGATGCTGGTACACTACTCTGTTAACTGCTATTAGGTCATCAGAACTCCTTGTCCGAGGGACTCACTGTAAATGGTTTCTTAGGGATAAATTCTAGTCACCACAGAGCCCCTCAGCGCCATACAGGGCACATTGCAAATCAGAGACATACCTAGTCCTCAGAAAGCTGGAGCATTAAGGTCAACAGGATAGTCCCTCGAGAGGGGGCAGGCACAGAGGTGATGTGGCAGAGGTGGGGGATGGGGGGAAAGGAAGGAATAAAAACGACATGGTCAGGCACGAGGAAGTGAAGTAAGGCTAAGCTAGGCAGAGAGGGGGAAAAAAGGATTTTTGTTTTGTTTTGGTTTGGTTTCTGTTTATTTGTTTTTTTAAGAAAAAATTGAGCACATGCAAAAGTAGAAATGTCATAGAAGCCTCAGAAGTCTGAGTCAAGAGCCAGAAAGTGATACATTTGAATGACAGAAGAGCATAAACATAAAGACTCAACCAGCATCTTTATGGTACTATTTGAATTTATAGCTGAGGTAACATGGTTGAGGTCTTGTTTAAGGTTCTGCTTTTGGCTACAAATTTACTGCCCCTTCACCACCCCCAAAGTGCCTAAGACTCTACCCCCCGGTCTTGAGGTCACTTCTAATCTGCCCCACCCCTGTCTTTTTCCTAATTTCTCTTCCTTGTAGAGGTGTATGTTTCATAAAAATATCCAAGATGGAAGGAGAGGAAGGGACAAGAGGGAAACCCACCCATAACTTGAGAAGCCTGTGGGAAGGAAGCCAGTCCTTGTGACTGGCATCTGCAGAAGACAGATGAAGCTGAGTGTACCATTTATGTAGCAGGGAATCTCGCTTGGCACTGAATGCCATCAGAATTCCTCTTGTCCTTTCTCTCCCCCTGGCCCTGTGCCCACTGTCACTACAGATACCACACCCCTATAGATTCAACGTTTGCAATGCTACCACATTACCTTATGGGACCATCTATTACATATTACTCTGTAGAAGATGGCCCCATGTTACATTGCTTTACCTTGGATCTCTCTTCATCCTTATCAGCACACTGCAACATGGTTCCAAGCATCCTGCTATAGAATATGGAAAAAACAGCTCATAGAGCTCAGGGGAACTTGGCTGAATTTACACCACTGGAAAGCACAGATACACCACACAGTTGAGGTTCTGACTTTTAGTCCAAGTTACTTCTGCTCCGTGGACATTCTTTGGATTTATCTTATTCCTTCAAGTCAGGACACACTGTAGCACTGTAGCACTGTCCTCCCATTGTTCATCGATTTGCTTGAGTGGGCACCAGTAACATCTCCATTGTGAGACTTGTTACTGTTTTTGGCATATTGAATACACCATGGGGAGCTTGCCAGACTCTGCTGTGTGGGTGGGATACTCTCAGTAGCTTGCCAGGCTCTTTGAGAGGGACAGAGGAATTGAACCTAAGTCGGCTGTGTGCAAGGCA